TGCATTATATATATTCATTGCATTTATGAATTAGAATGTGTTATCTTAAAGATGCTTTTATCTAATAGTACTGTTTTTAATTATGTGCAAATATTTAAATAAGTGAAATATAAAATGTCCACTCATTCTTAATTGATTTGGTAACTCAATCCACTTACTCTAAACCACATCATAAGCTGCATATTGAATCATTTGAAGTAACACAGAGTGGTTATATACTAAATTGAGATCACACATGAGGAACATGCAGAAACCATTCAGTTTTGTATGGACATTCACACACAGAAAGTAGACATTCAACCATATATAGTAATTGAAAAATATAGACATATACCCATAAACTAATGTCATTAAAAATTAAGGAAGACCACAATGACTTTAGCAATCTCTATGCAATAAAATTTATCAATCACAGATGATAATAAAATTATCTTAAACAAAATCTAATAATAAGACAGTTCAGTGCAGTTTATTAAGGGGCATACCTAGTAAAAAGGTGATTTTTTTTAATTAAAATTTTTAATTAAAGTACATTTATTTGGCAAATTTTGTCTTTAAATTTTACCCCAGATGAAACTATAAATTTTACCCTGTTCATTTTCGTCTGTAATCCTATGACTCTATCTTTTGATAGTATAGCACTAGAAAAAATAATTATTATAAAATTTGTCTATTTAAGAGTTGTTTCCTTACAAACACAACTTAAAAAGCTAAAAATACTAAACACATGTATATATGAACATTGGAAGTCTACATAGAAAAGGGTTATCAAAATGCCAAACAATATTGTGGATGTCTATAAAAACAAATTAGAATTTCAGAGTGCTCTAGGAAGCTTTTTTAATCTGGACATAATTTTTTTTTTCTAAATAGCAAGTTAAAATGTGTGGGATATATTTGCCACTAAACCCTTCTGTTTGCAGTGTACACACTCAATCACCTAATAGAGTCTGGCTTAGCCACTAAAAGGAATTATTTATAACATCCTTGGAATATAATTATATGAGCTACACTTAACCATCTGGGTATTTTGCTTCTTGCGAACAAGCTGCAATGGTATAATGAAATATTTTGTTTGTTTATATATTTAGCTATGTATATAAAGAGGGAAAATCATCCTTATAAATTAGTCGTGTTTTGTCCTAACTTTCAGAGTAAGGTCAATCCATAGCATATAAGACCAAATAAAAGCACTATTATTAATATTAATAAAATTCTACTGTGTGTACTGAAAAGACATTCTTAAATGGCTAAGAAATTCCAAAGGTGAAATCCAGGAATTAACCACCTGTATGGCCACAGTGAATACAATCCCTTGAAGGATCTATAAATTACTGAAGAGCAGAGATAATTAAATAATTATACATTTTGATTGAAAAATATATGTAGTCCATTAAAATAGGAACTTTGACTCAACTTCTTCAGTGAAGTTCTATACAGATGTCAAGTCTGCACTTTAATTAGAACAAAAGACCACTGTCAACATTCATGCAGCATACTTATTCATAATAACAATTGCATATTAATCTCTTGAGCTTGCAGAACTATAGCATATGACATATGACATGGCATAGGCACCTGGGTGGCCGTTCTCAAGACTTATGTGGTGCATATCAATTAGACCCAAGAAAATAAAATCCATTTTCCTCTGAGAAAAACTACTTCAGTGCTAATTGGCTTAAGCTATCAAAGGAACAAGAGTGAATACTGTTAGGCTTTGTGTATAGTTGTTAAAGATTTCTTTGGGTGTATGCAGTCTATGAGTGGCTTGTGGTCTAATTCTTGACTGAATCCTGGAAATATAAAAGGAGAGCAGCCATGTGTTTCTTTGGCTTTGATGAGTGGATTTTGGCTAAAAACCTCAGCATTACTACTTTGTTTATTACAAGCTTTGTAACTAACTGTATGTCCAAACACACAGTAATATAACCAGAAACATTACATCAGGAAGCCCTAAATCTGCCTCAGTTTAATTCCTCTACTCTTAAAATCCTGATCCAGCTTGAATATGAGATTATAAATGCCTTTAAGAAACATGTCACCTCACAGTAAGTCAGGTTTCAGGATTCTTGACAATCTCTTTATGCTAAAGGCACTTTTATTTTACATCTTTGGAGGGTAATAGAAAGATATTATGGAATGAAAACTCTGGGTGGTTAACAAATACACTTATGCTGAATAGATGAATCCTAAAACCACTACTTCAGAAAGGAGATGTCTAAAATATCATTTCTAGAGTTTATCTAGAAAGAAAACACAACATATTTCTGTGTAGACATGGTGATGACCAGCAACATTCTACATTATAGTTTGTAATTCTTCAAACTTATGTCACTTCACATTCAAAATTCAATAAAACAAACCCATTCAGCTGGAAGGTATTCACACTCAATAGGGTACTTTGGACTCTGCAACCCTTTTTCAGATTTCAGAATAGTAAACTCTAATGAGCCATTTTTAAGTAAGTAAATTAAACTCATGGAACAGATTTGAATTTGCTAGCATAGTTAGGCAAATACCATGTGCTTGTTTTCCCATCCCTAGGATGAATTCTAAGTCCTGTTTTGAAATATGCTGGAAAGAAATGTATTAGAATATGTGACACCATTTCCCTTCCACTTAGCACATGTATGGGTAGTTTAAAGTAATTCCTTTCTATTAAGCAAATGTGTGGCTAAGGCACACCTCAGTAATACATTAAACCAATGAAATGCCAAAGTGTAATCATCAGAGAAGACTTAATTCTTACAGGAATTAATTACACATAGTATAGAGTGTCTTAGGAGAACATTGTTGTCTAAGTCTACCAATTTATCCTACAAATACCTTTTTTTTTTTTGAAATTTGAGGTGAGATGCTGATTCATCACTAATAAGATATTAACAGATATTTTATTTGTGTGATACTTATCTTTCCAGAAAACAAAACTTCTACATGCTATGTATTTAAGAAGTTAATTGTAGTTTTGAAGTTTGATACATAGGCGTAGTCCTGTATGAACACACTCATTGTTTTCTCAGTGAATTGTACAGACATGGAGGAGGATATTATGAAATTAATAGATTCTGGTTTGGAATGATAACTTGAAGTCTAGTTATCTTGACAGTTTATAATTGGGTACTTAGTTGTCAAGGTTTCTAAATGCTTCAAACTTACACAGGCACACCATTATTTAGGTGGGCTACAGTCATTGGGGAATACCTATGGTGCTTTTTAGGTTCTTTGCAATTATGTTGAAGTTGCTGCTAGCCAAGGCTTTTGATGAACTCACTAAGACTGGTCATATGTAGAAAGCTCGTATCAAAATGTTACATCACATTATGTTTTCAAATCAAAAGAACTGTGTTTCCTGCAGTGCCTGGTGTAAAGAATACCACATTGGCATTACAAGGTCCCTCTGAGAAGAAAAAGACAATACAACATTTTGAACATGTCTCTTTAAAATTGTTTTTTCCTTCTTAAATGAGTTGCTGTATACAGTCAACCAGAAAAAGGAAAAAAAAAAAGTAAACCATGTCTTGACCAGTGTCTGCCATGGCTGGCATGGGTGTTGGATACACATGGCTTCTCTTTACTGATAAAACAGGTCATCTTTGATGTTATTACAGTTTGGTTGAGGATTTATTTTGTTCATGTGTGAATATGTGCACAACGCTTCTGCACGTCAGGAGGAAGCATTGGATCCCTTAGTGCTGGAGTTTATAGACGTTTATGAGCTGCCTGCAGTAGGTTTTAGAAACTGAATTCAGGTCCTCATGACTGGATTGCCAGTGCTCCTCTTTTCTGAGCTGTCTCTCCAGCCATTAATTTTGGGGTTTTAAGGATGGCATTCTCAAAAATCTTTGGGATCCCTCATTAATGTGACATTTTTATATTTTCATAGGCTTTCAAGAGCTGTTTTTTTGCTGTGGGATGTTCTGTATGTCAAATATGTTTCTCTGATTGGTTAATAAATAAAACACTGAGTGGCCAGTAGCCAGGTAGGAAGTATAGGCGGAACAAGCAGAGAAGAGAATTCAGGGAAGTGGAAGCCACTGCCATGACAAGCAAAATGTAAAGTACCGGTAAGCCATGAGCCACGTGGCAAAGTATAGATTAGTAGAAATGGGTTGACTTAAGATATAAGAACAGGTAACTAGAAGCCTGAGCCTTTAGGCCAAACAGTTTCAATAATATAAGTGTCTGTGTGCTTATTTTATAAGTGGGCTCTCAGACTGCCAGGGCTTGGTGGGACCCAGAGAGAAAACTCTCTAACAACAGTTTTTTTTTTTTAATCAGAATACAGGATTGATACAGATAAGAAATTATTAAAATGGATAATATTGAATCTGAGAATAGATATTCTAAAAGATCTTTCCTCAGTTTTCACATTTCAAAAACACTGATTTAGACTGTTGATGTTCCCAGCTAACAGGTCTCATTAATAATATTTCATTCAGGATCCTCCATCCTGACTTCTGGTGTTAGAGTCACTCCTCAGACTTCATATTCTTGGGCCAGATTGCCTGGGAACATTTTGTCAAGTACAATCAAAGTGTGAGCTTTCTTGGCATTAAAATCATGTTCCCAACCCACAGCAGCATCTGACTTGGTGGCTGGTTACAAATAATTCACTGGAAAGGTCATTTATAATTCTTCTGGGAGAGCAGGCAGTGAACACTGGACAATATGGTGATATTTTAATTGTACTGAAATGTGATTTTATTTGTATGTTAATAAATAAAGTTGCCCAGGGGTCAGAGCTAATAGCAAGCCATATCAGAAACTGGGCGGTGGTGGTACACGCCTTTAATCCCAGCTCTTGGGAGGCAGAGCTAGGCGGATCTCTGTGTGTTCAAGGATACAGCCAGCATGGAGACACATGCCTTTAATCTCAATACCAACCACAGAAGACCTGGAGGTCTGTACAGACAGGCAGTGACGAGGAGGTCATGTGGTTGGGTTTACAACCAATGAGAAGGCAGAATAGAAAGTCTATAAGAAAGACAAACACACAGGAAGTAGGTCTCTTGCTGAGGAAGAGAGCAGTGGCAGTGAAGGGTAAGGTTTTTAGCTCTTACTTATCGTTCTGACCTCTTGGGCTTTCATCTTTGCATTGGCTCTGTGTTTTTGATTTAATAATACATCTACAGGACAAGAAGGTCAAGAAGCTGAAAATCTAAGCAGCATTATCCACTCTCAGAATGAATTCCTATGTGCATGATTCTCCAGGTACTACTGTGTCAGATTGGGATAATGGTGATTTTATGATTAAAGGCAGTATCCTCAACCTTAGTCTTGACTGTCATTGAGGCTCCTTTTGTCTATAGCACTGGGGCAATACCCCTGGATATCCTGGTTGGACACAAATTCACAGCGCATATTGTCCACATTTTCTTGGCAATGGATTATCTATGATTTGTTACCTCCTGGGACCAATTCTATATGAAGTAATTTGAGAAACATTTGATACCTAGAAGTCTCAGTATCAATTTTAAAATACTACTGGTTCTCATACCACCCGTCATTACCTTGCTCAGTACTATATTCACTTAGGAGTTCTGAGGAAAGTTAACATGCTATGTATCTGAAAAAGTTTTGAGGTAAGCATGTCATAGCTGTGATACTATGACACATAGCACAGAGTTCCACTAAAATCAAAATGTGGAGCAGAATCTGTAGAATTCATAGACATCTATTTTAAGTGTAATTTAATCTTTTCATATGATCTCTTAACTGATCAAATAAAATATGCCAGTAAAGGGTTAACTGTAGGTTTAAAAGAACAAATTCAATAAATTTAGAAGGAAGAAATACAGGATTCATATGTAATTAGATTTACCTATGCACAGAGTCATTAAATAAAAATCTAGAAGATGGTCTGTTCTCCATGATTTTTTTAAATTATTGTACTAAAACAATTTAGAGTTTTAATCTAAGATGATAATCTACCAAATGAAAGGTATTTTATCATTTTTTGTTTTAAATTCAACTCTACACTAATAACTACATCACCTTGGATTCAGTGATGGACATGCTTGACTCTCAGGCAGTGTGATCATTCTGTCCCCCTTTTTCTGGTAATTTCTGCAGATGGTGGGGAAGAAGCAGTACCCTGACCCTTGTGGGGTCTTCCCACACATAGTCAGCAATGTGGCAAACATTCTCAAACAAGCATGATTCAAATAATTACATTAAGTAAGTACATCAAAAATACTACAACGTAGTTTAATTTCTCATATGAAAATGTATGTACATAGGCACTTCAGATGAATATGTGTTTCTGCTTGAATTATCTAGCTAATTGGCCCGGTTCTGTGCTTTGAGCACAAAAATATTGCTAATGTTGGGAAGAGCTACCCCTTATAACTTAGTCAAGGATGATTAATTCTTTTCTCTCAACTCTAGCTTTCTTTTTAACTAACCTTATTTTTATGTTCATCCAAAAGAAGTAAAATCCTAGACACACAGGGATAGCCACAGCATTTCCCTTACCATGTAGTGCCAATTGCTTCAGGGTTGAAATTGGTAGGGAATGCCATAAGAAATATTCTAGTAATCTATTCTCAAAGGAAAACTGCATTACTCAATATAAGAAAAATATTTTTTAAGCAAATATGTTTAAAAAGTAGGGTAAAAGCTTTTCTTGTCCATCACTAGGAAGATTTTTTTAGTTGAAGGGACTATGTATGCCAACATACAAAGTCCGTCTCCTACATGAAAGGCTTGTGGCCGACAAAGGCTCTAAAGCACTCCATTTTGATAGCCTAAGTGGCATGCTGATTTACTGTTTTCACCTTAGCCACTATGAAGGAAAACAAAGGGGGGAAATGTTAAACTTTCTTCCTGTATTTAGAGCATTTGTTGACAAGAATAAACATCTCTTTTATAGTAGGGTTTGTTTTCCCAGTAATATAAAACAACATTTAGATATATTGGATGATATTTTTGGATTTTCAAAGACAAATTGTGCCATTTTTCCATTGTGGTTATATAGTGCTCTGTTAAACCACTTTATAGCAAGCAGTTGTGAGAAAGATATAAGGGGGAGGCAGCCATGTGAGATGCTCTCCTTTAGCCTGTTCCCTGTTCTGTCACTCCATCGGAAACAACAGAAGTGAAATAAAGAATGTGCTCTCCCTGGTCAAATTTACATCACTGCTGAGGTTCATGTAGCATCAACTGAGGCAATTTGAGGTTTTCAAAACTTGTCACTTTAGGAAGAATTTGCATTTAAATTGCTCTATCCAGTTTCTTGGGAGTTTTTTCCCTGGAATGTTTATGGCTCTTTTTTCATTAGTATTTACAAAATACAACTTCATAACCAGTGCATTACTACATCTAGTTGTGTCAAGAAGAAGAACTTCATTTCATAAAATAGAAACATTCAAAATGGTTCTGGGCATCAATCACTCATTCAAAATGCATTACTTCTTCATATTGAACAGTTATTTGAAAAGTTGTCTGAAACATTATCAGGTTTCCATGTCTAACATAGGAACTCAGTCACTTGAGATTTTATCAGAGAGAATTCTGGCATTCCTCCACATTCTCCCCACAGCAATGATGTTGCCAAGAACATCTTAACTCCCTCCCAAGATTTTTATTTATAAAAATACAGCATATTTCTCTTTAATAGATAAATCTTAGGTATTATTTCAATAATTGCTGTTACATACTAAAATTGGGATATAAGAAAATATTTAAAATGTGCAAAATGTTCTTTCTTATGTACACTTAAAAATATGCCATATAATAGCTTTAAACTTGGGGGAAAGTCTTTGATCACACACACACACACACACACACACACACACACACACACACACACATACACACAAATACCTGGTCAAATTAGAGCTTTAGCTTGTATACTTGTAAACAAACTTTAAAAAATGCTGAGCATTTTTCTCAATTCTTTTCAACCAAGACACTCTCAAACACATCCAGTCCTGCTTTGAAGGAAACCTGAGCTGAATTAATGCTATTCAGCACATCTGATACGGCCTCTTGAAAGGTCTCATTTGATGCCAGTGGACTGCACTGCTCCCAAGCTTCCTTGAGGATGGAAAACTGGCTTGTCTTCCCATCAAGATGGTACAGGATGTTTCTAAAAGAAACATGGAATATGTAAATGTTTAATGCACAACTATATTTCTATATCAAAACCTTATCAGGAGTAGTGTCAGAAAGCAATAATGTTTACAAAATAATGAAGAATTTTTTTAAAAATACAGCATTACTATTTTTCAACCCATAATGAATGAATGCACAGAGATGCATTTGTTGGTAGGATCGGAGGCCCTCAGGCAGTGTGTGCTTCCTGATTGAAGCACACAATGCTATGGCATACCATAAAGGGGTTTTCCAAAAATTTGAGTGAGGTATTTGCAAAATTTCTACGTATAATTACCAGAAAACACAGAGGACAAATTGTTATGATAACATGGCGAATCCTAGAACATTATTGACTATGGTGAAGAAGTTTGCTACTCTGTTAGGGCTGACTCAGTTAACAAGGGAAGTTATGGTTTAGCTAGGGTTTCCATTGCTATGATAAAACATCATGACCAAAAGCTACTTGGGCAATAATAAAGGATTTATTTACTTTGCTTACACTTCTAAATTATGGTACATGATTGAAGGATGTCAGGCCAGGAACCTGAATGTAGAAACTGAAGCAGAGGCAATGGAAGTATGTTGCTTTATGGCTTGATGGCCATGAACTGTTCGTCCTGCATTCTAATATCATCCACGAGTACCAGCACAGGGGTGGCATCATCCTCAGTGATCTAGGCATTCCCACATCAATCAACCAAGAAAATTACACTAGATAAAATTACCTACAGGCCTGTCCTATGGAGGCATTTTCTGATTAAGAGTCTCTCTTCCCAGATGAGCTTAGCTTGAGTTAATTAGAACAAAAACCATCCAGCACAGGAGTTTTCTAGTGGTGGCCTCACTTGTCTAAATGCTTATTAGTCATAGTTCAAAGGAAGCTACTAACCACACTACTGCTATTATAATTCCTTTTCATTTTAAACTTTAAGAGACTAGCCTTGTATCCTTGTAGAGACAGCTTAGTTAATTATGAGTACACAAGAGCCTTGAATTAAAATCTTATTTCAGTTTTCAACTAGATTATATGACAGCACTGTTCTCAGTTTTTGAGGAATCTCTATACTGGTTTCCAAAGTGGCCAGAGTAAATTATATTTCCCAAAGCAGCATATAAGCATTCTCTTTCCCCTCTTCCTTTCAGCATCTGTTATTTGCTTTATTTTTAAATTAGCTGACAAAGTAATAAATAGCTTTCCATCTGGGGTTTTCATATATATTTTGTTTTGGGTTGATTTCTTCCTCCCTGACACTCATCCCCAACTTTGCCGTACCCTTTTGTAATTCTCCATTCTGCTCTATGGTCCTCCCTTTTCCTCTCCTTTGAAGGCCTCCTTTTCTCCAGCACCATGAACCCATTGCCTTTACTAATATTTAGTCCCACTTGGACCCTTAAAGTTTACAGTTACAGGTCATGGTCTGCATATGGCATAGTAACTATGATATTTGTCTTTGTGGGACTGGATTACTTCACGTAATATAATATTTTCTTCTTCCATCCATATTCTTACAAATTCCATGATTTCATTTCAATCTATAACTGACTCAAGTGTTCTTGTACACATGTACCACATTTTCTTTATCTATTTTAATGTGTATCCTGACTCATTCTATATTCTTGCTATTGTGAGAAGAATATTGATAAACATGGAAGTTAAAGTACCTCTGTAGAAGTATGTACAGACGTTGGGCATATGCCTAAATGATTTACAGCCGGGCCATCTACTAATTTTTCCTTTGGTTGTTTGTTTCAAACACCTCCACACTGATTTCCATAGCTCTTGACTAGTTCAAATTTCTACTAATATTTAATAAGGGTTATTGTTTTTCATCCTCGTCCTTACCTGAATTTGTGTGTTCCTAAATGATAGATATTTAAAATAGGATGAGACAGAAACTAAAAACTTAATTTACACTTTATATGCTCTGAACAGTTAAAAATATTTATTGGCCATCTGCATTTCATCTTTTGAGAAATGTCTGTACAGATCATTGACTCATTTGTTGATATCTATGTCTATATATTTTTCAATTCATTTTATATATTAGATACTAACCCCTTAACTGAAGTATCGTTAAGGTTTTCTTCCATTGTATAAGCAATTGACAGCTTGTTTTGATATGCAGAGCCTTTTTAATTAATGTAACCCTGTTAGACAAATCTTGGGGTTCTTTCCTTGCTGTTGGGGTCAATTCAATTATGGGTTGCCTCTAACAAAAAACAAATCATCCCCCAAGCATTACCCAATTATGACATTCTTGCTTAATGAACTGGATATTATTTATGTCTTTGTGAAACAAACTTGGAATCATATCAGTTAAATAGAGTAGTGCAAGAAAAACATTATAGATGATACTACATTTATATTCAAGATTAAATTTTTACACAGGCAAACTATTTCAAAGACATGGACTCAGATGACCACTACAGAGTGGTAAATGCACTGTGATGCACGTTCTGGCAAGAGCTCACCTAGAGGACAAGATCTCTGCAATCCCCTCACAGAGGAGGAGCACAAACTACCTTTGGCACTGGGGACACTTCCCCTGCCTCATAACCTAGCCTTGTGGCCTGAAATGCATAATATCTTCCCACTCTGGCTATAGATCTCTGATACAGATGAAAAACATGTTATATTGTCATCTTTAGAAAATATGACAGTGAGTCTTAATTCAGCCCCAAGACACACGTCCCTTAGTCTAAGATGCAGTGGACACATCTCCAGGAGCAGTCAACTCTCTACATGGAAATTTATCTTTTGCTTTTCCCACAGCATTTTACAAACTTAAGGTAATTTAAAACAACAACAAACCACCCAACTACAGAACTGCAATCACAGGAATTATATATGGTCAGGCTTGTGTGTATTGAATTATTTCATGATTAAAAAAAACTTAATGGTCATTAATATGTAGACTAAAAGTGGTATCTATAGAAGTTGAGATTAGAATGGAGCCTGTCAAAGCTGAAGAGGAAGAGATAGTGAAGGACAGGGAGAGGTTGCTCAATGAGGACTAAGGTAAAATTAGATGGGAGCAAGAAGATTCATATGCTGTGTCAATAACACAGCAATACCAAATATGTTACTATTGCTTTGAGGAGACATAATTACTATGGAGCCTCTTATATAGGAAAAAAATTAATTGAGGCTGGCTTACAGTTTCAGAGGTTTACTCCATTATCTTCATGGTGTAGTGCAGGCAGAGATGGCGCTGGAGAAGTAGCTAAGAGTTCTACATCATGCACAGGTAACAGAAAGTGAACTGTCTCACTGGGCATGGCTTGAGCATATATGAGACCTCAAAGCCTGCCTGCATGGTGAAACACTTCCTACAGCAAAACGACACCTTCTCCAACAAGTCCATACCTCCTAATATTGCCATTTCCTTTGGGGGCCATTTTCTTTCAAACTACCACATTCCACTCCCTACCCCCAGAGTCTTATAGCCACATCATAATGCAAAAATGCATTCAGTCCAACTTCAAAAATTCCCATAGTCCGCAATAGTCTCAAACTTATTTAGAAGTCTAAAGTTCAAAGTCTCTTCTGAGAATCATACAGTCTTTTAACTGTAATCTTCTTTAAAATTAAAATCAAAAAACAGATCACATACTTCCAATATAAATGGCATAGGATGTGCATTACCATTCCAAAATGTAGGGAAGGGAGCGCAGTGAGGAAATACTGGACCGAAGCAAGACGAAAACCAACTGGAAAGACTCCACACTCTGCTTCTCCATGTCTGATGCCAAGTGCTCTTCACATCTCCAACTGGTTTGAGCTTTGTTGACTGAAATCTATTTCTTTATCTTGGCTGGTTCCACTTCATGTTAGCACCTCTCTTTGGCAGGTATCCCATGGCTCTTGGATCTTAAGCATCTTGGGGTCTCCAAAGGCAATCCAGGTTTCACTTTCATTACTTGACACAATGGCCTAAGGACTCCATGCAGGGACACCCCCGACACATGCCTGGCAACAAGGGTGTTTCTTAGTCGTGGAGAAAGATTCCATAATGTCTTTCTTCTATCCTCTACTCTGAAGCCAGAACCAGGTGGCTGAAAATGCCAAATTATGCTGCTTGCTGGGGCTGGAACATAGCCCTCTTCTTCAACTACATCTTCACCAGCTTTCTGTTTTCAATGGTTTCCTTAACTTGGCTGTCCTGAATATCAATCTGTAGACCAGACTGACATCAAACAGATTTACCTTCCTCTGTCTCCTGTGTGCTCGGATTAAAGGCATGTACTTCCAGGCATGGACTTAAGCTTTTCTCTAGTTCATTTTCACAAGTAGGAACTTTAGATGAGTGGAATCTTACCCTGAGGTCACCAATCCCTTTATTCCATTTCTTAATCTGCTTGTCTCCTAGAACACAGGACTTAGCCCCATTCCACTTCCTGGTGCTCCTTTTCTTCTCACATTTTACATTTTCTGTTTTTATTTGCCCAGCTTGGTATTTTTTATTATAAACCTTTATTAGAGTTAACACTAATAACCACACGACAGAGTCTATAATAGGACATTTTGAGATTTTTTTCTGTCAAGGGAATTAAAACAAATCTCATTACTTTAGCCTCAGGCAGACTGTTCAGACAAGGGCAAAATGCAGTCACATTCTTCACCAAAGTATCACCTACTCCAACAAAGCGAAACCTTCTAATAGTGTCACTCCCTGTGGGGGCCATTTTCAGCTCCCCACACCAAACCTCCCCAAAAGCTGCAGGATAAGTTTGTGAACCTGTTTACCATTATGGATTAATAAATGTTTGAGGTTTTAAATGTGTGCAAGTTAATTAATACACTACACATAGCAAATAATTATTCTCTCTCTCTCTCTCTCTCTCTCTCTCTCTCTCACACACACACACACACACACACACACACAAATTTGGACACATTGTGGGAGTATTACATATATCACAATACAAACATATATGAGAGGACAACTTGTGCGAGCCAATTGTCTTTTTCCACTATATATGTTCTACAGA